ATTTCAATGTGTTTTTTTTTGCAAGAATGGAATTCGCAGTAGGGTTCCCTGACGCTTCGAACATTCATTTTTAAATAACCGCCCAGCCGACATGCACACCTGAGGTAGACGGCCTGACAAGGCGTTGTAGAATTGCAGGGTGTCGTGCCGTTCGGACAACTTATAGGTCGGCTGGTGTGGCGCGCACCTCGGTCCCACCGGGAAGGTACAGTACGCTGCCGAGAGCGAAAGTCTGCAACGTGGCTATGCCTGGTCACGGACTCTAGCTGCTCTTTCCAACACCCGACGATTGCATCATCCAGACTCGTCGCCGTCGTTGTCGCAGTAGCTTGTTCGTCCCCGTCTCCTTGTGCGCATTCAACGTCAACGCCATCTACGCATCTCCACTGGTTCCCGCAGCACCACACCATATTGTCATCTACTAGTTGTGCCATTGCTGCGAAGTCTACCTCACGCAGAAACATCCACAGGAATGGTAGGCAATCATAGAATGTCCAAAGAGCAGCACCACCAGAAGGAGGCTGGGAGGATTTGGATGAATCCGAATTGAGGATTAGCAGGATCGAAACCTTCTGTAGTGGTGTGGCTTGGTTTAAGGTGGTTTTCATGTTTCTATGTATTTTTCATATTTTTTTCACAGTATTATTGGCATTGTAGCTATTCACATCTAGTCGCATTTAATCTCACATTTATTTCCTTCATACGTAGTTTCTTATAAAACAGTAAGTCCATAATGTGTGCTTAGCATGTGTAGTGTAGTTGTGATTCATATCGCAGCCATCCTTAAGCCTGGAATGAGCGGGTACGGGTGGAATGAGCTTGGTAAGATCACTCGCCCTGCTCCTAGAAGAAACTCGGCAGCGAGCAACCCTCAGTGCACTGCGGAGGCAGTGCCGGCCCGTAAGAGGACGGAAGGGGACTATGGTGGCCCGGGCCTACCAAGTCCGTATAGCAGATGGATACGAGCATAGCGAGTGGGCAGAAGATCCCGGTCACCTGGTTCACGCTGAGGTCGCCCTGCCGAGCAACCACCGATGCGGAATGGCCTCAGTGGGACAGCCCCGACGGCGCGAACTGCACTGGGGTTGCACCATTCGCACTTAGTCGCACCGTTTACAAGTAGTGTACTGTAACCAGCCGTTACTATCAGATGGAAACTGCAATTATTCTCGAAAGAAACTTACTGCTTCAGGCTCCAGTTCCCTGACATGTTGCTCCACTCCTGTGTTGCCTAAAAACCGATGACTACAAAATTAAGGACACTAGTTACATCGAGCCTGGAACGGTAGACTGGATAGGCTTGGAATGAGACTTTTATAATTTTGCAGCAGAACAAGGGCAAGAGAGGAACATGATCAGGTTACACCTCCATCACGAACGGCACCATTTTTTAAACTTTTCTACATTTTAACAATGACTAGAAGGATTAGAAGAGGTAGTGAAGTACAGAAATGATACGATATGACAGTAAGCAATTATAGCGTGACTGTGCAGCAGTGCGTGTCACAGAGATGTCGCTTATGTGCTACCTGTGTTAGAGGGTACTTCCAACAGCTAGTACTGATCTTGGGCATCCCTGGTCAAAGTCAAACGNCACCTCCATCACGAACGGCACCATTTTTTAAACTTTTCTACATTTTAACAATGACTAGAAGGATTAGAAGAGGTAGTGAAGTACAGAAATGATACGAATGACAGTAAGCAATTATAGCATGACTGTGCAGCAGTGAGTGTCACAGAGATGTCGCTTATGTGCTACCTATGTTAGAGGGTACTTCCAACAGCTAGTACTGATCTTGGGCATCCCCGGTCAAAGTCAAACGAAGGCCTCATTAGATACCTTTGCATTCATTATCATATTGCTGTTCCCCTTAAACTTTTCACCTGAGTGTTGAAAGTGCTGATAAGAAAGTCTCATTTCATAAGTTGTCGTAGACCTCAAAGGATGGCTTCCCAAGACCCCAGCCGCGGCGGATAAGATGGTAGGTCACTGTATGGTTCTGCTTCACTGATGGTGTAAGCGAAGGAGAGAGCGATTTCAATTTTCGATTGTTAACTTCTTTGCAGCAAAGTAGGATAAACACTCGTATGTTGCACGAGCGAAGTCATAGCCCACTACAGCTCCTACGGTACTGATTACTCCTAGCTCAGAGAAATGGTATCAGTCTGCCGATACAAAGTCTTACCTATCGAAGGAAAATACTACCAATCTGTGAAGCAACTATCTCTTAAAAATTTTTGGAGACCAAGATATGTATGTCGCATCTACAGTCACCGTGGAGTTAATGACTTCTCACCGTTGTGTAATAGTTTCATCATTTGGGGTTTTTTGCTTGATGTCAATAGGTTCTCCTTTCACATCTGGCCCATCATGGTGAGCATTTTTTTCAGGCTTTAGCAGGCAAACATTATAAGCGAATAGTTGAGTAGGCGGTAATATGGGCTTATGGCACTAATACATTCGGCTGGTCAGGGTGACTGTGGAACAGCAGAGCATGAAAAACTGTAGGAGACATTACAACTTATGCTCGTTTGAGCGAGCGGTTTCAGCAAAAGTTCTATGTGGAATCTGACGAGTGAAAAATACAGCAGTTTCTCATCACCCACCCTCAGAGCTGGGAAAAGTTAGGATTTGACAGTCGCAAAACCTTCTTACCTTCCTTGACACCGCCAACAGTGCTTAGCTGCAAGATTAGTGGTCACAACTGCGTTTGGCACATAGTATAGAATAATAGTTCAGCATACCGCAAAGGACGACAATGATAGCAGAAGAAGTGTAATCGTAATCGCTCTCATTTTTCCAAATGAAATTTTTCTGCATCTCCACATCTTTTATACTCTACTGGTGGTGTGAGTGATATCATTCCTAACTTTCCTGTTGATTAGAAACACATAAGGAGCGGTCCAAACCTATAATTTTGAGAAACGTTTGCTGAAGGAATACGGTCACTTCTCATGATGGGTGCAACACCCCGCACGTAAGGATATGAACGGTACTGAGAATATGAGAATCATCTTACTGCTGGAATCAAGAAGAGCTTGTGTTCAAGATGAATCAATTCAGGGTGGACGATTCTTTGTTTGATAATTAAACGATAACGAGAACTAAATAAAGTCCTACTAGTTAAAAGTCCTACTAGTTATGAACGAAGGGCATAAGATACGCAAGAGCAGTTGCATCGGCAAAGTAATTGTTGGGAACATTGTGTGTCAACGAAACGCTACGTCGCGTTTCACGACCTATACATACGGGGATACTGATGGCCGTACAGACATCACCTGCCGTCACGGTTATGCGGTCCTATCCCTGATAATATTCTGCTCAACCCTTTCCGATGTGCCACCTTCTTTCAGACCTCCGATGTTAAACCTTGCTTTGTACTTCGTCCTACCTTCTTTCTGATTCTGCAACACCTTCTTTCAGACCTCCGATGTTAAACCTTGCATTGTACTTCGTCCTACCTTCTTTCTGATTCAGCAACCTGGCAGAACCCTTGTGATCTTGACTACACTATGCACCAAACCAGACGATGAAACAGATTTGTAAATAATCCGAATATTACTAAACGACAAGCATAACTTAAAAGGCCACCGGCTTCGAATTGGAGGACAGGTCGTGCAAAACCTACTCACCGCGAGAGGCTCAAATAGGCAGCTTGGAAGGTGGTGTAAAGACCTTCTTCTTCTTCGAGTTACTACTCAATGGTCTCTACGAGATCGTTCCAGTTTTCTGTAGGCTGTGCTCGAACTAGGCTGGGGCCTGGAGCGTTCCTCGATGAGGACGAGTCCAAAATATACTTGGCTTTCAGGCTCTGACGAAGGCGACGAACTACAACATGTTAGCCGAGGCTTTACTAGAACACCTACTACATCGATATATTATGCCAATTTTCATCGAGAACGGAACATCTTATCTTCGAAGTGTGATCCCGCATTATGACTCCTACCATCTAAAAATTTTTCAAGAAGAACCAAGAAAGGTTTGGTTCTCCTTGAAAACCCATTTCAGAACTCACCCCTTTGACCGAACATTCGGACTTCACTGCAAGAAGTTTCACAAATGGTTTGCAGGTTTCTTGAACACCAGAGGTCCCCTTTCACCATGACCGACTGAGGCCTGCTTTCTGCAGCGCATTCCGCTATTTCCGCAGCATGTTCGATTTTCTTCTCTGCTCTTCGCTATCAGAGCGATGTCATCAGATTAGACTTACAAAGGTGTTCCAGTGACTAGGGAAATGTTGGTAGAGCCGACTCGAATACTGCCAATCAGCCGAGTTGCTCAAGCGACGCAGAAGATGTTCATGATCAGTGATTGACGTTGGAGAGCTACTCTACTACTATAACTTTGTTCATTGTCTCAACTTTGTGCTAATCATTCATTTCAACGAAAGGGAAATTAATGAATAAAAAGTCTCTTAAAAGAATGGCCAATATCCATCATCATCGTCGATCCATCGATCTCTTTTCATTCTATCATTCTTCCTGAGCAGCGTTCTATCGTTGAGCGGAAGGTCATCATTCACGGGAGGTGTTCCTGGCTCCGCACTTCCTTGATAAGGTAATGGATCGCTCTGAAGTAATGCATCATATCCTAGAAAGTCTTGAGGCTATCGACAGCTTTATTAGTACAACCGTTACCTACTGCTAAAACATTCTACGCCGGTTCAAAATTTGGTCTTCTAGCCTTCACTTCCAACATTCTAGAAAATCGAGAGTCAAAATAGAAGCCAAGGTTATAGCAGGATAGTTTTTTAGTTAGATTTAAGTCCCGAAGCAATTGTGATACCTAGAGATACATTTTTCGGGGATGGTGATACTACCAATGGACTACGAGCTAGGCAGCAACCTACGGCGATAAGGTGATGTGCACATTAATCCTCCGTAAAAGGGTGTATACATACTCCTGCAATATTTCACCTGCTAGAAGCGAACTTGGCCGTATATGTCAGAGTGGTCCGAGGTGAGAAGCGTGATCAGCTAGTGATAAAGAATCAAAAAAACGAAATCGAGATTGCTTTCATTGTCTTGGATACAATTGTTGAAAAAATTATGTCGTATGGTGGTAGGTGCTGAGCCGTACTCAAATTGCGTTCTCCTGCCGTAGTGTATTCTTTTCATACGAGGGACCGTAGTCATATAGAATCGAGTCTAGACTGCAAGCACTTTTTGACAACTACTAACAAATATTCTCTTTTCGGCAACCAGTGATAGGCAAAGATTTTCACACAATGTGTAGCTTTGCACCATATTAGCTATCTAAATCGAGCGGTTAGCAAAGACTTTCGAACTTACCTCGCTCAAAGACGCAGAAACCGCTGTGGTAACCAGAAGAAGAGCGAGTAGATACATCTGAAGTTGTAGCATAATGAAATGTATGGTTGTAAATAGTCATGTGACTTAATTAGCCAAGAAAGCGTGAGCCTATTGGAGGAAG